GGAGGCAGCCATCGATGTTCTCTCTCATCGATGTTTCTCTCTCTCCCTCTCCCTTCCTCTCTCTATAAGAGCAATTAAAAAAAAATTTTTTTTTTAATCCTCATCCGAGGACATTTTTCCATTTTTTGTACAGACAGAGTGGGAGGGAGAGAGAGGAAGAGAGAGAGAGAGAAACATCGATGTGAAAGGGACACATCGAGTGGCTGCCACCCGCACGACCAACCAGGGCCGGGAACAAACTGCAACCGAGGTACGTGCCCTTAGCGGGAACTGAACCCGGGTCTCTCCAGACCGCAGGCGGACGTTCTAACTGCTGAGCCAAACCGGCCAGGGCCAATTAAAAATTTTTTTAAATAAAATAAAATTTTTACTTAAGTATAACATACATAAAGTAAAGCCTGCCCACTACAGCACACTGCATTTTCACAAAGGGCAGCCAGCACTGCGGAGCATGCCAGCACCCCAGGTGCCCTTTCTAAGCAGTGTCTCCCCACAGAGGTAAACACTGTCCCGATTTCTATCCTACAGCTTAGTCTTGCCTGTTTTTATTTTTATTTATTTTTTATCCTCACCCGAGGACATTTTTCCATTTTTTGTTCAGATAGAGTGGGAGGGAAAGAGAGAGAGAAACATCGATGTGAACGGGACACACCAAATGGTTGCCACCAGCACGACCCATCCAGGGCCGGGGACAAACTGCAACCGAGGTACGTGCCCTGAGTGGCAACCGAACCCTGGTCTCTCTGGACCGCAGGCCGATGCTCTAACCGCTGAGCCAAACCGGCCAGGGCAGTCTTGCCTGTTTTTAAACTTCATATAAGTGAGACATAAAGTATGTGCCCTTTACCTCCTGGTTTCTCTCGTTCAATATCACATTTGTGGGATTCATTTAAGTTGTCGAGTGTAACAGCAGACAGTTCGTCTTCATTGCTGTACAGAATTCCACCGTGTGCCTCTCCCACGACTTACCTGTCCATCCAACTGTTGGTGGGCATTCGGTGAGTATCCAGCTTTCTGCCGTTATGAATGAGCTGTTACAGAGAGTCTCTCGGTGAATACATGTATACATTCGTTAGATATGAATCTAAGAATGGAGCGGCTGGGTGACCATTCATTTTTAAAAACCTCCTGGAGCAGGACGTTTGCCCTGACTGCACTGCCCTCCTCCGTGACGTGACGAGCATGGCTAATAATGTACGCGTGTGCCCTTGCTGAGTTCCTTTTAATCTTGTCGGTTTGGCACCTGCCCTGCAAGGGAGCAACGCCTGCCCTGAGATTTCTGCACATTCCAGGTGACGGGACGTGGTCCTCAGCAAGTTATTCTGAACAAGAACTCGTGGATGCAGCTGCCTTGGTCCGTCTAAATCAGGCGTTTTACATGAACATCTTCCCCATTTGTTACAACTTGTTCTTGAGAAACACTATTCTTTCCGGTCAGAGAACGAAACAGGTGGCTCCCCAGAGAAATGACACCTGCTGCGCCTCCCAGGGGGACAGATACACAGGTCAGAGCCGAAGCTGCAGTAACACTGTGCTCCCCCAGGGGTATTCCGGGGTGAGAGCTCACTTAGGAGCAGGGGAGACTAACTTGCCTAGTCTCTCAATTTGCAGCCGCTCAGTAGGTTTCCAGTAAGTGCATGGAACCATCAACATACAGAATCTGTTTCCTGACAGGCTGACTTCTCCAAAGGGAAGGACAAGGTCATCCCCACCCCTGGGATCCCAGCACCCAGCGCAGTGCTTGCCTATTACAGAGGCCCAAGAAATGTTGAAATGCACACTCTGAAATGGGTGGAAAAACCAACCCCACAGAACAGATGGCCAAAAGCAGACAAAAGTAGAGTCAGATACTGAGAAACGAAGTCTCTGTGGAACTGAAATGACAACTTGTATGTTCATCATTATAGCTAAAGAACACCCACGCTATAGAATGTTCTACAGCAGCAAAGAGCAATGAGGTCAATCCTTACACAGACATGGTAAACGCCCTGTGATTTTATTTATTTTTTTTATCCTCACGCGAGGACATTTTTCCTTTTTTTTTCAGATAGAGTGGGAGGGAGAGAAAGAAAGAGAGAAACATCAACGTGAAAGGGACACATTGAGTGGCTGCCATCTGCACAACCCAACCAGGGCTGGGGACAAACTGCAACCGAGGTACACGCCCTGAGCGGGAACCGAACCCAAGGCTCTCTGGACTGCAGGCCGATGCTCTAACCGCTGAGCCAAACTGGCCAGGGCGATTTTTAAAAATCTTTATTGTTGAAAGTATTACAGCTGCCCTCCCCCCATGCCCCCCGCCCCTGCTCCCATCCCCCTCCTGCTTTCCCCAAACTACTGTCTGTGTCCATTGGTTATGCATATAAGTTCTTTGGTTTACCTCTTCCCAACCCCTCCACCTCCCTTCCCTCTGAGGTTTGTCAGTCTGCTCCCTATTTCATGTCTCTGGATCTATTTAAAAAAATTTTTTTTTCCTTTATTGATTTTAGAGAGAGAGGAAATGAGAGGGAGAGCTAGAAACATTGATGAGAGAACATTGATTGGCCGCCTCCTGCATGCCCCCCACTGGAGATCGGGCCCACAACCTGGGCATGTGCCCTGACCGAGAATCGAACCGGCGACCTCTTGGTGCGTGGGTCGATGCTCAACCACTGAGCCACACCGGCCAGACTCTAGATCTATTTTGATCAACAGCTTATTTTGTTCATGATATTACATAAATAAGTGAGGTCATGTAGTACTTATCTTTGACTGATTAGTTCGCTCAGCATAGTACTATCCAGGTCCCTTCATGTCGTCTCAAAGGGTAAGAGATCTTTCTCTTTTTTTTGGTATGTGCCCCTAGCGGGAACCGAACCCAGGACTCTCTGGTCCACAGGCTGACACTCCAAACCGGCCAGGGCAGATCTTTCTTTCTTAGAGCTGCATATTATTCCAGTGTAAATGTACCACAGCTTTTTTATCCACTCATCTACTGATGGGCACTTGGGTTGTTTCCAGATCTTAACTATTGTAAACAGTGCTGCTATGAACATAAGGGTCAAGAGACATATGAAAAAAATGCTCAACATCAGTAATCATCAGAGATGCAAATTACAACTACGAGTTATCACTTCGCACTTGTCAGAATGGCTGCCATCAACAATTCATCAAACAAGGGCTGGTGAGGGTGTAGAGAAAAGGGGACTCTAGCACACTGCTGGTGGGAATGCAGACTGGTGCAGCCACTGTGGAAAACAGTATGGAGTTTCCTTAAAGAATTAAAAATGGAACTGCCATTTGACCCAGTGATCCCTCTTCTTGGAATATATTCTAAGGAGCCTGAAACACCCATCAGAAAGAATATATGCACCCCTACGTTCATAATGCTGTGACTTATTAGTTACCCCCCAAAAGAAGAGCAAGTTGCATACAACCTAGTTGTGTAACACTTTATCATTTATAAAAAGGCAGTAATTACATGCTTCAAGAGACATATATGTAAAAGCAAAGGAAAAGGCCTGGAAGGCTACACACTACACTGATAACAGACACATGCCTCTGGAGGAGAGTGAGGTTGTGGATGGTGTCAAAAGGATTTGGCTTTATGTAGAATATCTGGATATTTTTCAAGATTATAGCCCAGCCAGTGTGGCTCAGTCGACCCTGCACCAAGAGGTCGCCAGATGGGTTCCTGGTCAGGGCACATGCCCAGGTTGTGGGCCAAATCCCCCGTTGGGGGTCCTGCAGGAGGCAGCCAATCGATGTTCTCTCTCATTGATGTTTCTCTCTCCTCCCTTCCTCTTTCTCTAAAATCAATAAAGAAAAAAATTTTTAAAAAGATTATATCTGTATAATTAAACAGACCTCTCCCTGGTACTGCCAGCGGGTTTATCTCCTAAGCCTAGACACCTGGCTGCTCTCTCCCAAAGCATCATGAAAAATGTAGGGAAAGGCACAAATGCAAGTCCCTTAAACAAATCCGTCGCAGCCAGGTTCTTCAGGACAGCTTCTGGGGAGGCCAGGCGTCGATACTGGGAAGACCAGAGGGGCACCCCATTTCCACACTTCAGAAAAGCACTCTGCCCGGCGGTCGGAGCATCAGCCTTGGCCCAAAGAGACACAGGCTCGGTTCTGGTCAAGGGCACTGGGGTCGGGCCCAAGGCAGCCAATCATGTGTCTCTCTCTCTCTCCCCCCTCCCGCTGTGTCTGAAGATAAATGGAAAGACATCCTTGGGTGAGGATTTAAAAGGAAAATAAAGAACGAAAACAGAAAGAAAGCGCGCTCATCTCAAGTAAAACTGGAGAGAAGTACAGAAAGGTGCACTCCCACGGCCTGTGCACATTTCGGGGCGCTGGAAGGGGCAGAGAAGGGCGTGGGGCCGCCCGACACCTGCCGGTGCTCAACGCCGAGCTCGGGGAGCAGGGGGCGAGGGGCGCCTGCAGGCTGCCCGGCGGCGCCAGTGTCCTCCGTGCAGCACTGCGCAGCGTGGAAGGTCCCTTCCCGTGCAAACCCCGCCACGACCACCAGCGCGGCCTCCGACCCACCCGCGAACGTGGGTTCCCCTCGCGGGGACCAAGGGGGTGGGGACGCACTAAGCCCAAGCGCAGCCGTTCGGGCTCCTGCCCCCGGCCGGGCCGGTCCACGCCGCCCAGCAAGGCAGCGCCTGGTCGGCCGCGCGCCGCGCCGGGACGCCCCCGCGACCGGAAGAAGCGCGGACACTCGCTCCCGGACCCCGTCACTCCCGGCAGGAACCGCGAGCGCACCGGCTCCGCCGTGACGCGGCCCAATCAGGGGGCTCGCCCCGCGGCCGCAGCAGGGGGCGGGGGCGGGGCCGCAGCCGGGAGGGGGGCGGGCATCGGACGTGGCCCAATGGGAGCGCGCGCCGGGGCGGCGGGGGCGGGGCCGGGCGCGCGGCGCAGGGCCGGGCGGCCGGGGCTCCAATGAGCGTGCGCCGCGTCCGGGGCCGGCTGGTGCGCGAGACGCCGCCGAGAGGTTGGTGGCTAATGTAACAGTTTGCAAAGCGAGGGGAGCCGTGAAGGGCGCCAGCTGGGGGGCGCGCTGCCGGCCGCGTGGTAACCCCGCCGCTGCGTTAGTCCCGGAGCCGGGCCCACGACAGAGGCCTGAGGTAGGGGTGGGGCGGTGGGGCATCCTCCTGAAGGCTCCGTCGAGCCGCGGACCGGGTCGCGGAGGGAGCAGGGCCGCGGGACCGCGGGGTCCCCGCAGCTGGGGCGCCCCACGCCGGGGGCTGGGCTGGGGCCCGTTTCCGGCAGAGGGCCCGCCGCCTTTGTCAGGTGAGGCTCAGGTGAGCCGGGGCCGCCGGACTGGCCGAGCGCGCGTCCCCGGCACCGCGGCTACGCGGGCGGCGCGGCCGGAGGGCGCAGCCGGGGCGGCCGGGGAGCAGCAGGCCCTCCCGACGCCCCGCAGCCCCGACACCGACATCTCAGCTCGCGTCCAGCCGGCCTGCTTGCCGCCGGCGGGGAGCGCCAGGTGCGGGCGCCAGGTGTGGCAGGTGCTGCGCCCTGGGCGGGACCCCGGCGGCCGCGGCCCGTCTCCCCGTCTCCCCGCAGCAGGACCAGCGCGGTGGCGCGGCGCCTGCCGCCTGTGCGCAGGAGGTGCCGGGCCCCTGTGTCCTGGGCCTCGCGTGGGCACTTCCGGGACGACTGGGGGCTTGGTTCTCATCAGCAGGGGCGCGGGGATGGGGCCGCTCTACCCTGGGGGCGGATGGAGTAGGTGTGAACCTGAAAGCGGCTGTGTTTGGGGGTGAGGCTCTGTCTCCTCGTTGAGGGCGTCCAGTTACAAGTGTTGTTTTCCTCCCAGGGCACAATGGCAGCCACCGTCGGGACGCAGAGGAGGCTGGCCCGCTGGACCCTGCTGGCCGTTCTCGTGGCCGACCTGTTGGCACTGAGCGGTGTGTACCCCCGCAGGGGGGTGGCAGGAGGACCTGAGTGGAGGATAGTGATACGCAGAGGGACGGACCCCGGCCTTTTCCTTTGTCTTCCACTGTCTTGCTTTCTCCGTGGGGAGCGGTGCGTTCTCATTACAGAAGCCTCAGGAAGGTGGGGAAAGAAGGGCTAACTGGCAAGTCTGTTTCCCCTTCAGACATGCTGGCCGTGATGTCTGTGGACCTGGGCAGCGAGTCCATGAAGGTGGCCATCGTCAAACCTGGAGTCCCCATGGAGATTGTCTTGAACAAGTGAGGGCAGCCCCGGGCCAGGGGTGGGGGAGGAGGGCGTCTGGGCGCCAAGCGACGGTGTGTTCTTCCAGGTGCCCTTGAAGAAGAGCCTGGTGTTTGGGTGATGGGTTGTGTGTGTGATGCTGAGGCTCCTGGGTCCACACCCTGCTATAGGCGCCTGGGCCTCATGTCTCTTCCTCAGGGAATCCCGGAGGAAAACCCCCGTGACCGTGACCCTGAAAGAAAATGAGAGATTCTTTGGAGACAGTGCAGCAAGCCTGGTGAGCTGGCAGCCTCCCCTTCCCAGAGTGGCGAGCAGCTGAGCGGAGGGGCAGACCCGAGTCTGTTCCCGATCGGTCTCTGAGGGAAGAGGCAGGTGATGTTGCTTGGAGCCTACCGCTCTGTTCCTTCTTCCCCTCCTCTCAGGCCGTCAAGAATCCAAAGGCCACGCTGCGGTACTTCCTGCAGCTCCTGGGGAAGCAGGAGGACAACCCCCACGTGGCCCTTCACAGACACCGTTTCCCGGAGCACGAGTTAGGCGTCGACCCGCAGAGGCGGACTGTGCTCTTCCAGATTAGCCCGTGAGTGCTCCGCCGGGAGGTGGCCCCCCTTAGTGCCTGGCTGTTCTGCCTCTGACTCCCCCCTCCCCCCAGGCAGCTGCAGTTCTCACCTGAGGAGGTTCTGGGCATGGTTCTCAATTACTCCCGTTGCCTGGCTGAAGATTTTGCAGGTGAGTGGCCAAGGTGGGGCCAGTGGTGACCAGGTTCTCTAGGGTCTCAGATGGGGGCTCCCAGGGCGTATGTGGCTGTGTCTGAGACATTTTTGGTTATCCTGACGGGAGCTGCTACTGGCATTGAGTGAGTAGAGGACAGGGGTGTTGCCAGACATCCTCCAATGCCCAGGACAGCCCCGCCACAGAGAGGTATCCGTCTAGTCCAAAACGTCGACCGTGCCAAGACTGGGAAACCCTCGCCTCGCCTGCGGCGTGGAGCTGGCGTGAACCCTGCTGTATTGTCCTCTGTAGAACAGCCCATCAAGGACGCAGTGATCACCGTGCCAGCCTTCTTCAACCAGGCCGAGCGCCGGGCTGTGCTGCAGGCAGCTCGCATGGCTGGCCTCAAAGTGCTGCAGCTCATCAATGACAACACCGCCACCGCCCTCAGCTACGGTGTCTTCCGTCGGAAAGATATCAACAGCACTGCCCAGGTGAGCCAGGGAGGAGCTGCCGACCCGACATGCAGACTGGAGGATGGAGGCCACTTGGCTCATCTGGCATCTTGCTGGCACAGACCCCTCTCCGCCGCTGTCAGAGCACTGGGCTTTTAGTTGAGAGTTGATGCAGCCCCTGGAAGTGGGCGGGCACCCTGGTGTCGGATAAGGTGCCTGTGACAACTGGCTGGTGTCTTTACAGAACGTCATGTTCTATGACATGGGCTCGGGCAGCACCGTGTGCACCATCGTGACCTACCAGACCGTGAAGACGAAGGAGGCCGGGGTGCAGCCGCAGCTGCAGATCCAGGGAGTCGGGTGAGTGGGTGCTGGGAGGAAGGCTGCCTGCTGGGACCGCAGGTCGGGGTGTCCTCTGGGAGGGGCACCTGCTCCCAGCAGGAATGCTGTCCAGGTGAAGACTGTCAGTCAGTGCAGGGTACTCTGCCAACAAGCAGGGGGACGAGGGGGCAGGCAGAGTAGTTCGGGGAGGCTGAAAGTCAGGGAACCTACTGAGCTTCTAAGAAAACTTGAGGCTGCCCGGCCGGGGGGCTCAGTGGCTGAGCACTGACCCTGCACCGGGAGGTCGCCGGTGTGATTGCAGTCAGGGCACATGACAGGTTGTGGGCCCGATCCCCAGTGTGGGGCACGCAGGAGGCGGCCCATCCATGTTCTCTCTCATCCATGTTTCTATCTCTCCCTTTCCCACTTCCTCTTTGTATCTCTAAAATCCATTAAAAAATATATAAAAAAAAAAAATTCCCTAGGCTGTAGACCATATATAGGGTGTCAGATTCATCGTCTGTTCACCGTCTTGTAAATGTTAGTTGGCTTAAGTAACGTGTCACTGACATCATCCTGTTTCTTGAACTTCTGCTTTTCCATCCGTCTCTACTGCTAACACTAGTTCAAGCTGCCATCACCTGTCAGCTGTAGAATTCCGGAGACGCTCTCCTGCTTCCGCTGTGGGCTCCCTCCAGTTCTTTCCCCACATTGTTGCCACAGGTTTCTTTTCAAAATGCCAACCTGATTGTAACCAGTTTGTGTAAAAACCCTTCAGTGATGCCCTAGCCGGTTTTGCTCAGTGATTAGACCAATGAGTCACAGGTTCGATTCCCGTCAAGGGCACATACCTCGGTTGCAATTCGTCCCTGGCCCTGGTCGGGTCGTGTGGGAGGCAGCCACTCAATGTGTCCCTTTCTCGTCAATGTTTCTCTCTCTCTCCCTCCCACTCTATCTGGACAAAAATGGGAAAATGTCCTCAGGTGAGGGAAAAAACAAAACCCTTCAGTGGCTTCGAACCTTAACCTATAAGGCTGCATCCGTGCACCCCACGCCCCTGCAGCCCTGCGCCCTTGCACCCCGCACCCCTGCAGCCCTGAGCCCCTGCGCCCCTGCCTGCTCTTGGAGCTTCGGCCACACTTGGAATCGACTGCTCTCCCCCACCTCAGGTCTTGACACAGCCTGTCTCCTGTCTAGAATGCTTTTCCCTCTTCACTGCGTTAACTCCAGCTCCTCCAGGTTCAGTTTAAGCATCATTTCTCAGAACTTTCCCCAACGTCTCCAAACAGCTAGAAGGTCTCACGCAGGTTTCAGTGGCCTTGTCTGCCTCTCCTTTATGACACACGGGTGGTTCCAATTTCACATGTATTTGATTACTTAATTGCTAGATTGTAAACTCCTTGACCACAGGAACAATATCTTTTTCCTCTCAGAATTGTGCTTTCCCCGGAGACAAATACATAGTTGTCGCCTAGTAATTACAGTTGAATGAGTGGGTGGGGAACTGCGACTGTGAGGCGTCGTCCTGTGGAGGGAGAGTTGGGCTCCTGTGCAGATGAAGGGGCCTCATGGGTTCCTCCCACTTGTTCCCTTACCTTTCCTGACAGGTTTGACCGCACCCTGGGGGGCCTGGAGATGGAGCTCCGGCTGCGCGAGCACCTGGCTGGGCTTTTCAACGAACAGCGCAAGGGCCAGGGAGCGAAGGACGTGAGGGAGAACCCCCGGGCCATGGCCAAGCTTCTACGTGAGGCTAATCGAGTCAAAACTGTCCTGAGCGCCAATGCTGACCACATGGCCCAGGTGCCCACATGTAGCTGGTGGAGGGCAATACTCCTCCCTCGGAGGGTGGAGGACACCACTGTCAAATGAGGCTACTTGTGTCTGGTGTGGCCCATCGCTTCCCGTGCCCCCTGCCATCCTTCGGAGTCCTGTTCCCTTGGATTCTGGCCCGGCCGCCCAGGAGACGGCTGGGTGCGAACGCTGACACTCCTGTTCCCCAGATCGAAGGCCTCATGGACGACGTGGACTTCAAGGCAAAGGTGACTCGAGCGGAGTTTGAAGAGCTGTGTGCAGACCTGTTCGAGCGGGTGCCCGGGCCTGTGCAGCAGGCCCTGCAGAGTGCCAGCATGAGCCTGGTGAGCGGTGGGCGGAGTGGGCCGGGCTGCGGCAGGGAGTGGCCGGGTGGAGGGGCAGGGAGGAGGGACATTACAGGGAGTCGGTGCTGAGGAGAGGAGTCAGTTACATGCTGTCCCATCTCACATGGTTTCTCCCTCTGCAGGATGAGATCGAGCAGGTGATCTTGGTGGGTGGGGCCACTCGGGTCCCCAAAGTTCAGGAGGTGCTGCTGAAAGCTGTGGGCAAGTGAGTGTGGGGGCCAGGACGAGGGACTGAGCAGCTGGGAGGCTGAGAGGGGGACCAGGCCGGGAGTTGCAGGACAGACCCTGCTGAAGCTTGGGACTTCGACAGGGAGGAGCTGGGGAAGAACATCAATGCGGACGAAGCCGCCGCCATGGGGGCTGTGTACCAGGCAGCCGCGCTCAGCAAAGCCTTCAAGGTGAAGCCGTTCATGGTGCGCGATGCAGTGATCTACCCCATCCTGGTGAGTTAGCCTGTCTGATGGGCGACGTGCTCCCTCTCCCGCTCCAGGGGGGCTCCCTTCTGCCCCTTCAGTCTGTTTTTATGTTACTTCCCGTCGGTGTTTCTCACCCCTGACCCCAGAACCGCTCTGCCTCTTCCTTGTGCCCGCCGCTGCGCAGGTTGAGTTCACGAGGGAGGTCGAGGAGGAGCCTGGGGTCCACAGCCTGAAGCACAATAAGCGCGTCCTCTTCTCCCGGATGGGGCCCTACCCGCAGCGCAAAGTGATCACCTTCAACCGCTACAGCCACGACTTCAATTTCCACATCAACTATGGTGACCTGGGCTTCCTGGGGCCTGAGGATCTCCGGTGAGGGGGTGGGGGGGCAGGGTGGGAGCGCTGGGGAGGGGGCTTGGGGCCTGAGGGCTAAGCTAGGGGAAGCAGTCGGGGGGGGTTAGCCTCTTCTCCAGAGGGTGCTGCCTCCTGAGTGTGCCCCGAGGGAGGGCCTCCACCCCTGTGCTGTGAGGTCCAGGCTGGGGGCAGCTGGGCAGGTCCCCTGAGCTGCTCTCCTCCCAACCAGGGTATTCGGCTCCCAGAATCTGACCACAGTGAAGTTGAAAGGTGTGGGTGAGAGCTTCAGGAAGCACCCTGACTACGAGTCCAAGGGCATCAAGGCTCACTTCAACCTGGACGAGAGTGGGGTGCTCAGCCTAGACAGGGTGAGTGCCCAGGAGACCCTGTGCAGGGCGGGCCCCGGTCCCACCGCCCTGTTCCAGGACATGAGACATGGGAAGGGTGTGGGGCTGGGTAAATCTTGGCTCTAAGTGAAGTTAACCAGGGACTTGCCGTGGCCCTTCTCATAGCCTGTAAGTGCTTGTGGATGTTGTAAACTTCAGGGTCTGTACAACGGCCGAGGAGCCCTGGCTGGTTTGGCTCAACAGTTGGAGCATCAGCCTGTGGACCAGAGAGTTCCCGGTTTGGTTTCTGCTAGGGGCACATACCAAAAAAAAAATGGCCAAGGAAACCCCAGCTTTTTTTTTTTTTTTTTGCTAATCCTCATCCGAGGAATTTTTGTCCCGTTGATTTTTAGAGAGTAGAAGGGAGGAGGAGAGACAGAAACATCGATCGGCTGCCTCCCGCATGCCCCCTACTGGGGATTGAGCCCGCAACCCGGGCATTGAACTGGGACCTCTCAGTCCGTGGGACGACGCTCAGTCCACTGAGCCACACCGGCCGGGCTGGGCTAACACCTTTTGGGCCACGGTGTGGGAAATAACGGCCCATGCTGCTGTTGAGTGGAGAAGGGCAGGGCTCGGGGGCTAACAAGGAGCTGCGACCTTGTCCTCAGAGGACCCATGATCAAAGGGAGGAGGGTGACTCGATCCAAGAGCCTTTAGGAGAAGCAGGTGAAATCCAGCCCCACGTGGGAGTTGCGTGGGTGTCAGCAGACCCTGCCACGGGGGCAGCTTGGGAGGGTGGGTCCGCTGTGCACGCCTCATCCCGGACCCGTTTCAGGTGGAGTCTGTGTTCGAGACGCTGGTGGAAGACAGTCCAGAAGAGGAGTCGACTCTGACCAGTAAGATGGTGTGCACACGTGCATGCGTGTGTGAGGCCCGTGCGTGCGCGGGGAGGTGGGCAGGCCATCCCTTGAGTCGGAAGGCGGAGTCACTACTGCGACCCCTGATTCTCTGGCCTTTGTCACCCTAGAGCTTGGCAACACCATCTCCAGCCTGTTTGGAGGAGGCACCACGCCAGACACCAAAGAGAACGGCACCAGCACTGTCCAGGTGAGCCTGGGAGACGGGGTGCGGGGCAGGGAGTTGGGGTGCGTGTGCAAGCTGCCCTGTCCTCTCAGCCACGACGAGGCGTCGTACCCTGCTCTGTTCTGAGCTGTCCCTGTGCTGCTGCGGGCCAGATAGCCCAGTGCCCAGTCCATACGGTGGTCCTCTGTCCCTCCGAGCGCGAGCTCTCGGCTGCCGTGCTGGTCTTGCCCGAGGCCTGACTGCCTGGCGTGTGGCTGTGCAGGAGGAGGAGGAGAGCCTTGCCGAGGGGAGCAAGGATGAGCCTGGGGAGCCGGCGGAGCTCAGGGAGGAAGGCGAGGCCCCGCTGGACACCGCCCAGCCCCCACCTCCGGAGCCTAAGGGGAGTGTGGCCCCCGAGGGAGAGAAGGCCGCAGACAAAGAAAATGGGGGGAAGCCCGAGGCCCAGGTAAGTGCCAGGCTGAGCTCAGGCTGAGGGAGCGGGTGCCTGTTTCTCTTCCTCTCGGTCCCGGCCTGTGGAGTCCAGAAGGGCTCCTGACATCTTCCTCTCTCCCCACAGAAGCCAGGTGACAAGGGGGAGGCGGGGTCTGAGGGTGTCCCCCCAGCCCCAGAGGGAGAGAAGAAGCAGAAGCCCTCCCGGAAGCAGAGGATGGTGGAGGAGATAGGGGTGGAGCTGGCCGTCCTGGACCTTCCCGACTTGTCCGAGGACGAGCTGACCCGCTCAGCCCAGAAGTGAGTCCGGGCTGAGAGTGGGGCGGAGCCCGGGCCTCGGTGCCGCGCGCCCCCCTCACCCTGCCTCCGCCTCTGCCCGCAGACTTCAGGCCCTGACGGCGCGAGACCTGGAGAAGCAGGAGCGCGAGCAGGCCGCCAACAGCTTGGAGGCCTTCATCTTCGAGACGCAGGTGGGTGGGCGGGAAGCACCGCGCGGGGCCTGTGGGGCTGCCTGTGAGCCTGCCCTCACCCATGCCCCTGCGCCCCCAGGACAAGCTGTACCAGCCCGAGTACCAGGAGGTGTCCACGGAGGGGCAGCGTGAGGAGATCTCTGGGAAGCTCAGCGCTGCCTCCGCCTGGCTGGAGGACGAAGGCTTCGAGGCCACCACAGGGGTGAGGCCTCCCGGGACGGGGGTGGGCTGGCAGCTCTCCCTCCAGTCAGCAGGTGGGAGGAGCTGGGGTGAGGCCATGAGACCAGGTGCCGGGCTGGCTCCAGGGCTGCCCTGTCACCATCGTCCCCCCGCCCGCTCCCCGTCAGATGCTGAAGGAGAAGCTGGCCGAGCTGAGGAAGCTGTGCCAAGGGCTGTTCTTTCGGGTGGAGGAGCGGAGGAAGTGGCCCGAACGCCTGTCTGCCCTCGACAGCCTCCTCAACCATTCCAGCATGTTCCTCAAGTGAGCGGCCCTCCGCCCTTTCGTCCACACTGGCCTTGCCAAGCCCCCCCCCAGGTCTTCCTGGCTTCCCATCGGCTTCCCTCTCCCCGCCCCAGCCCCAGCCCCCACCCCTCCTGAGCGATAGTCTCCCCTCTGGCTTCCAGGGGGGCCCGGCTTATTCCAGAGATGGACCAGATCTTCACTGAGGTGGAAATGACAACCCTGGAGAAAGCCATCAACGAGACCTGGGTAACCCTGTGTGAACACGTACCGCGAACGGTACCGCGAACGGTATTGCGTGCACGCTCTGGGCTCAGCAGTCAAGCAGGGCCATTCTGACCAGGCCTGAGCAAGGGTCAGAGCCGAGAGCGGCCAGATGGGGGAGCCACAGAGCCTCCCTGGGAGGTTAGAGAAAGATCCTTGGAGGAGCTGGGGCGGGAGCTGGACTAGAAGTGGCCCAGGGTTTGAGGAGGTGAGGGCGGGCTCATGGGACGTAGAAGCAGCTTTGGGTATGAGAACTGTGGGCCACACTGAGTGAGGAGCAGGAACGGAACAGCCGGGGTCCAGCTGTCCTCAGTCACAGCAGGAGGATACAGCCAGAAATGGGTCGTTTTTTTTCATTCTCACCGGAGGATTTTTTATTCGTTTATCTTCAGGTAGAGAGGGAGGGGTAGGGGGAAGAGAGAGAGAGAGAAACATCATTGTGACTGAGACACATCGACTGGCTGCCCCCTGCACAACCTCGACCAGGGCCAGGATGAGCCGCACCTGCGGTCTGTGCCCTTGACCAGAATCAAACCAGCGACTCCTTGGTCTTCCGGCCGATGCTCTAACTGCTGAGCCAGACCGGCCAGGGCAGAAGTGTGTCGTTGAGCCTCCCTTGTGGAGAGCCTTGAGTGCCGTTCTGAGGAGTCTGCTCGCCATGTGGGTGGTCTGGGGTGTGGGGAAGGCCTGAGGCCAGAGCTGTCCACTGTCTCCATTGTCAGCTCTGAGCCTGTGCTGGCCTCGCCCACAGGCCTGGAAGAACGCAACGGTGGCCGAGCAGGCCAAGCTTCCCGCCACGGAGAAGCCCGTGTTGCTCTCCAAGGACATCGAGGCCAAGATGATGGCGCTGGACCGGGAGGTGCAGTATCTGCTCAGCAAGGCCAAGTTCGCCAAGCCCCGGCCCAGGCCCAAGGACAAGAACGAAACCCGGCCCGAACCTCCGCTCAATGCCAGTGCCCAGAGCGAGAAGGTCGTCCTCCCGCCAGGTGAGGGCAGGTCCTGGCTCGGAGCTGCTGGGCAGGGAGGCCCCTCCCTGCGGCGACTGCAGTTCTCTCGTTTCCCTGCAGGCCACGCTGAAGACGCAGAGCCTGTCTCCGAGCCCGAGAAGGAGACGCGTGAGTGGGGAGACTGGGAACATGGACATTGCGTAGCCTGGGGCTTGGCAGACTGGCGTGCAGAGACCGCGCGCGGCCCGCAAACCCTGCGTGTGGCCTCCAGCTCTCGCCAGCCCCTCCACGGCCCTCCCGTCTGCAGACACTGACGGACGATTCTTCCCCAAAGCAGGGTCCGAGCCAGCAGATGCGGAACCTCTGGAGTTAGAAGGTCCTGGCGCAGGTGAGGGCGGGGCTGGGGTGCGCCAGGAAGCTGGGTAGGATCGGGGGTGTCTGCACGGAGCGCAGCGTTCGCCTCCACCTCATCCGCTGTCGTCCCTTTGCCTCCCCGACTCCCAGCAGAACCTGAGCAGAAGGAGCAGCCCGCCGGACAGAAGCCAGCTCCGAGGAACGATGAGCTGTGACCCTGCCTTCCAGCCCCCCCCGCCCTTCTCCTGCCACCTCTATTTATTAAACACAGGGCTGGGGCGGGGCTAGTCCTGTCCGCAGAGGCTCCAGTTCCTTCTCTCACTGGTGACTGGCGGTGTGGATAAGGGGAAGGACGGGACACTTACCAGCTCCTTCCAGAGTAGAGCTGTGGTTACGAAGGAAATTGTTCTGTTCCCCCATCCCATGCCCCGGCCCTGTACCTATCCAGGCCCTAAATTGGGGAAAGTCACTCTTATGTCTTAATTGTCTGGGCAGATGAGAGAGTGGCCGTCGCTGGTGGGCAGGCCTGTAGTAGAAGGATGTCCTCGTCTGACCATTCCTGTCCCCTTTCCTCCCACGTGAAATCCTTGTCAGAGCGCAGTGTCTCGAGTCTTGGTGGCCAGGTGTGCTTTCCGAGTGCCTGTTCACGCTCCCCTCCGAGTGTCCTTCCTTCCCTGCAGCTTGGGTGCTGGGCTCCTTTCCTCCGGGTGTCCTGGCAGGCCGTTGTGGCTCAGTAGCCTGTGCCCAGGGCCCTGTCTGCCGGGCGGAAGTAAATCTCGGCGGTTCACCCTCACGTACGCCTGGTGGCCAGAGTAGACGGAGAGGGGGAGGGAGTGCAGCCACCTCCTCAGGAGTGAGCCTGTGAAAGCCCCGTAGCTCCCCCCTTGGACGGCCCAGGGCGGCCATGTGGAGTGGCGGGCGTGGGGTGCCAGCATCCTGCCAGCCCCGGCCACCTGCCTCTTCGCACAAGCCTGGTCCTCTGTGTCCCTTTGCTGCCTGCCCCTCCTCTCCTGCCGGTCTGCCCTCGGACAGCCTTTCCCTCACCCTGCACCCTGGGCTGACAAAGTGTGCTTTCTACTGTGAGTCCCTGTCCCGGCCCTCGGCAAGGAGCATGGTGTGAATGTGAGAACAACACGTTCGAGGCAGGCTTGTGGGGAGGAAGGGGCTGGGCTGGGCCTTGGGCCACTGACTGGCGCTGGGGAGCCTGTCCCCCAGGACTCTGTCTGGTAGGGGCCAGGGCTACACCTCAGTTCCTATAGCAAAGGGGACCTGGTCCTGTCTGTCTGTCCCTTTTTTTTTTTTTTGCCACATTGGCAGAAATGAGACCTGAGGGTCCCCCCGTCCTGTATGTCTGAGTTCTTTCAATAGCATTTGAGACTGGTTGGGCAGGTCTGACTTAAATTGTACTTTGCTCCGTTGTTAATTGAGAAACTTTCAATAAAATATTATTTTCTACAGTTTTTGTGCTGTTTTTTTTGTTGTTGTTGTTAATGTCATTGTTTATTCTTCTGTTAGCTGATACTTGTTTTTTTCTTTATTGATTTCTAGAGAGAGAGGAAGGGAGAGGGAGAGAGCGACAGAAACATCGATGAGAGAGAACATTGATTGGCCGCCTCCACGCCCCCCCACTGGGGATCAGGCCCACAACGTGGGCATGTGCCCTGACCGGGAATCAAACCAGTGACCTCTTGGTGCAGGGGTTGACGCTCAACCACTGAGCCACGCCAGCTGGACTACACGTATATATTTAACATAAGCATCTCATTAACAATCTTTGAGTATAAAAGTACTGAGCTTTATAATATCTACTATTTTTAAAGAGTTGATTTTTGAGCCATCTAGTTCCCATCCTCGAGTGGGCATTATTAACTTTGTGATACACTGAATAGATACACCACCGATCACTTAAACTTGATTATTACATACCTAGTGTTTCTGCATTTTTTTTCTTTTTTTAGAGTGGGTGGGAGGGAGGGGGAGAGAGAAGGAAACATCCATTGGTCGCCTCCTGCACAGAGACTCTGACTGGGACCAGGGGTCAAATCCACAACTGAGGTACGTGCCCTTGACCGGAAGTTGAACCCATGACTCTGGTCTGGGTTGATGCTCTAACCGCTGAGCAAAACCAGCCAGGGCTCTTGTTAAACATTTTTAATGGTCTTGAAGATATTTTTAAAATTTATCTTCATTGTTGAAAGTATCACAGATGTACCCCTACCTCCCCCACTGACCTCCTTCACCCCACTCCCTTCTCCCCACAGGCCTTCACTACATTATTGTCTGTGTTCGTGGGATATGCATATATGCATATAAGGTCTTTTTTTAATCCTCACCTGAGGATATTTTTCCATTGATTTTTTAGAGTGGGAGGAAGGGGGAGAGAGAGAGAAACATTGATGTGAAAGGGACACATCGATTGGTTGTCTCCTGCACAACCCTGACCAGTGCTGGGGATCAAATCTGCAACCCAGGTACATGGTCTTGACTGGGAATCGAACCCAAGACCCTTCAGTCACAGGCTGATGCTCTAACCACTGAGCAAAACCAGCCAGGGCTACATATAAGTTCTCTGGTTAATCTCTTTCCACCCCACCCCCCACCATTCCCTCTGAGATTCATCCGTCTGTCCCCTGCTTCCACGTCTCTGGATCTATTTTGTTTTTTTTGTTTTTGTTTTTGTTTATTTTATTTATTTGTTTTATCCTCACCTGAGGACATTTTTCTATTTTTTTTTGTTCAGATAGAGTGGGAGGGAGAGGAAGAGAGAGAGAGAAACATCGATGTGAAAGGGACACATCGAGTGGCTGCCACCCACACAACCCAACCAGGGCTGGAGACAAACTGCAATCGAGGTACGTGCCCTTAGCGGGAACTGAACCCGGGTCTCTCTGGACCGCAGGCTGATGCTCCAACCACTGAACCAAACCGGCCAGGGCTGGATCTATTTTATTCATCAGTATGTTTTGTTCATTAGATTCCACATAAGTGAGATCATGTGATACTTGTCTTTCTCTGACTGGCTTATTTCACTTAGCATAATACTCTCCAGGGCCCTCCATGCTGTCTCAAAGGGTAGGAGATCCTTCTTTCTTACAGCTGCATAGTACTCCACTGTGTACATGTACCACAGCATGTTTATCCATCATCTACTGATGGGCACTTGGGCTGTTTCCAGATCTTAGCTATTGTAAATAGTGCTGCTATGAACATGGGGGTACATATATATATTCTTTCTGATTGGTGTTTCAGGCTTCTTAGGATATATTCCTAGAAGTGGGATCACTGGGTCAAATGGCAGTTCCATTTTTAATTTTTTGAGGAAACTCAATAGTGTTTTTCATAGTGTCTGCACCAGTCTGCATTCCCACCAGCAGTGTACTAGAGTCCCCTTTCTCCACACCCTCACCAGCACTTGTTGTTTGATGATTTGTTGATGGCGGCCATTCTGGCAGGTGTGAGGTGACACCTCATTGTCGTTTTAGTTTGCATCTGTCTGTCGATTAGTGATGTTGGGCATTTTTTCATGTATCTATTGGCCATATATGAAGGAAATGAAGGAAATCAGTCCTTAGTCTATCAGTTGTAGATATACCTTACCCAGTTTATATTTTTACTTTGTATGTGATCTTTATTACAAGGAAATTTATTTTAGGTAGAACTTATCAATGTATTTTGTATAACTTTAGGTGTATGTTATACTTAGAACCCAGCAATTCCTCTTCTGGGTATTTATCCAAAGAAACCCAAAACATTAAACTGCAAAGATGCTGGCATCCACATGTTTATTTGCAATAGCCAAGTGTCCACCAATAGGCAAATGGATAAAGAAGCTGTGGTGCATATATATAATGATATGACTCAGTCATCAAAAAGAATGAAATCTTGCCATCTGCAACATCATGGATGGACCCAGAGGGTATAGTATTGAGGGAAATGAATCAGACAGAAGGACTAATGCCAGATGATGTCATATGTGGAATCTAAAAAGCAAGCAGAACAGAAACGGACTAGTAGATACAGAACATTCTGACAGTTGTCAGATGGGAGGAGGATTGGGGGGGTTGGTGAAAAGGATGAAGGGATTAAGAAGTACATATTAGCCCGGCCAGTGTGGCTCAATGGTTGAGGGTCAACACCTGCACCAAGAGGTTGCTGGTTCGATTCCCGGTCAGGGTACATGCCTAGGTTGTGGGTCCGATCCCCAGTAGGGGGCATGCAGGAGGCGGCCAATTGATGTTCTCTCTCATCAATGTTTCTTTCTCCCTCTCCATCCCTCCCATTCTATCTGTAGACAAATGGAAAAATATCCTCGAGTGAGGGTTCAAAAAAAAAAGTACAAATTGGTTGTTGCAGAAGAGTCACGGGGATGTAAAGTACAGCACGGGGAATATAGCCAATAACACTGTGGGTACTAGATTTATTGGGGTGATCACTTGTTAAGTTCTATAAATGTCTAATCACGCAGTTGTACACCTGAAACTAATATAATATTGTACATCAACTGTAATTGAAAACAAAAAGTTATTGCCCTGGCCGGTTTGGCTCACCGCTTAGAGAGTCGGCCTGCGGTCCAGAGAGACCCAGGTTCAGTTCCCGCTAAGGGCATGTACCTCGGTTGCAGTTTGTCCCCGGCCCTGGTTGGTTGTGCGGGTGGCAGCCACTCGATGTGTCCCTTTCACATCGATGTTTCTCGCTTTCTCTTCCTCTCTCCCTCCCACTCTATCTGAACAACAAATGGAAAAAATGTCCTCGGGTGAGGATAAAAAAAAGAAAAGAAAATAAAAACTTATTTTTAAAAAAAGAGTGAAACCCTGGCCGGTTTGGCTCAGCGGTTAGAGCGCCAGCCCACGGACCAGAGTCCCAGGTTCGGTTCCCACTAAGGGTATGTTACCTCGGTTGCAGTTTGTCCCTGGCCCCGGTTGGGGTCGTGTGGGTGGCAATCAGTCGATGTATCTCTCTCGCATCAATGTTTCTCTCTCTTTCTCCCCCTCCCACTCTGTCTGAAGATAAAATGTAAAAATATCCTGGGGTGAGGATTTAAAAATAAATAAATAACTAAACTGCCGACTTTGGATAATAGTGATGTGTCCATGTAGGTTCGATTGCAACAACTATACCAGTCTGGTGGGAGATGTTGATGGTGGGGGGAGGCTGTGCATGTGTGTGACCAGGAATATATGGGAGCTCTCTATACGTTCCACTCAGTTTTTCTGTGAACCAAAAACTGCTGTAATATATAAAATCTATCACACACACACACACACACACACACCCCAACACACCGAAACTTGTGGGCGTCAGTGGAAGCCATGCACAGAGGGAACTCTGCAGCATAAAAAGAGAAAAAAAAGTCAACAATCTAATTCCACATCTTAAGGAAATAGAAAAACAAAAGTAAAATAATCTGCCCTGGCCGGTTTGGCTCAGCGGTTAGAGCGTCGACCTGCGGTCCGGAGAGACCCGGGTTCGGTTCCCGCTAAGGGCACGTACTTCGGTTGCAGTTTGTCCCCGGCCCTGGTTGGTCTTGCGGGTGGCAGCCACTCGATGTGTCCCTTTCACGTTGATGTTTCTCTCTCTCTCTCCCTTCCTCTCTCTCCCTCCCACTCTATAAAAAAAAAAAAAAAGTAAAATAATCTGCCCTGGCCTGTTTGGCTCAGCGATTGAGCATCGGCCTACAGATGAGAGAGTCCCGGGTTCGGTTCCCACTAGGGGCACGTACTACACACACACAAAAAAGTTAAATAATCTAAATGTAACAGATGAAAGGAAATAATAAAATTTAAAGCAGAGTTAAACAAATAGACAATAGAAAAAATTGAGAAAAATCGGTGAAGCAAAAATAAATCTTCGATAAGATCAACAATTGACAGATCTTTAGATAAATTGACTAAAATATAAAATAGAAGATTCAAGTTACGAAAATTAGAAATTAAAGAGGGGACATCACTACTAACTTCACAAAAACAAGAGAATTGTAAGAGAACATTATGAGTAACTGTAGGTCAAGAAAGTGGATAATCTAGATGAAATGTACAAATTACTAAAACCACACACTACCAAAACTGAATCAAGAAGAAACAGAAAATCTTAATAGATCTACAGGCTTGAAGAGATGGAGTCTATAATCAAAAACCTCCAACAAAGAAAACCCCAGGACCAGATGCCTTAATTGATGAATTCTGCTAAACACTTAAGGAATTAACACCAATCCTCCTCAAACTAGTCCCAAAAATTGAGCAGAAGGGAACACTTTCTAACTCATTCTATGAGGCAAGCATAGCCTGGTACGATTCTAGAACAGAATACTACATCCCTGGCCAGTTTGGCTCAGTGGTTGAGCGTCGATCTGTGGACCAGAGAGTCCTGGGTTTGGTTCCCGCTAGGGGCATGTACCACAAAAAAAGAG